GTCTCATTTTCTCTAGACTCAGAAAAACCTGTCAAATTAATTTTATCGTTCTCCTTTTCTTTCGGCCATGTGTTCCATACTTCTGGTCAGTCTCACTGGTTTGTACTGGAATTCTGCAATCTGTCTAATTGACAGATATTTTTCCTGGGGTGTGACATCTGAAATTAGAAACAGTATTTGGTAATGCCTTATTTATGATGAATAGAACAAAATTATTACAAACCCATTCTCAAAGATAAATAGGAGGGCTTCTTCATTCACTTATTTGAGAGAAAGCTTAGTTAATATATGAGTCAGGTAAATTGGCAATAGCACAGAGATTAGTAAATTCTAGTAGGATTAACATCACGATAAAAGAAAGAGGGGTATACCAAGCCCATTTAAATGATCACATATAGGAGCACGTTTTCACATCTAACTGGCACAGGTGATAAAGTCTGCAGTCTGCTCCCCATGTCCAGTAATGTCAAGCTTACCCTTTGGTTTTTTGGTATAATACATTTCAAGCTAAGCATTAGTCTTCATTTTATACGCAAGTAAAATGAAAAGACTTCGATCTAATTCAGGGTTCAAAGGGTTCTGCTGATCTGGAGAGATGAGTCAGAAGTGACTCATCACCTGTTTTTTGGCAAGATATTTAGAACATGGACAAATGACAAGGTGAATGGTAGGAATAATTTGAAACACTGTGCTCTTGTACCGTTTCTAAAGGCTCTATTGGTTTAATGTTACATATTTTTACTTTTCTGAAACATCACAGATAAACCAGAAGGCAGAAGGTTTCTCCTCAGTATAAGATTTTTACTCTCTTTACTTAGATTTCACAGACGGTAACATTCTGTCAGGTTATGTAGACTGCATAGCAGAACCTATCATAGACACCAGTTGCTATCACCTGTGATCTCTTGAAGTACAGAAATCAAAAGATGACTCACGGTGTACAGATTCCAAAAGAAACCTTCCAGTCAAACATTCCTGATTGTGTTGTGCCCTTCTTAAAGGGTGTATGTAGTGTCACATAGAACCAAATAAGTGTCAATCACTTAAATAGATTAAGCATCCATTATTCAGTATTCTGATTGTATCACAAGAATAGCATTTCAAGTCAGCCCATTTCTCAACAGATGTTTCAATCTCAGTACCAAAGGAAAACTTTCTTCTTTACTGGAACCACTTTCTACAGCTTAATTCTATTATTAACAAAACAAGCAATTGCTAGTTACCCTACTAACCAGAAGTATTATTTCAAGTCTAAGCCAGAAACATCTTACAAAAATGAGAGTAACAAATGGACAACAAAGCCATTGAGACAGATTGCTCAGTTAAGAGTTACATATCTATTAGCTGGATTCACAAGGCTGTGGGGGATGTACGCTATGCCAGGAGGGTCACTGCCAGCTAGAAACTCAAGTGCAATGGAATGTTTATCCTGTAGCGGCTTAGTCCACATGCTTTTTTTGCCTCTTTCCTCTGAAAGGCATGTTACACTTTCTCATTTAGCAGATGACAAAAGTACTTATTGCTTATTGCCCTATTAAATTAAGAGCAGATAGGGACCAGTTAATGGTTGTGTTCTTTTGGCAGGTTCATCTCTGAGAATCTGCAGTATGATTCTTATAGCAAGCTAAAGGCTTAATTCAGAAGATATCAAAAGGAAAATTCTTCATTGCAAATATGAAAGCAATTCATTACCTCATTTGCCTTACCACTGACATGAAGCACCACGTTGTCCAGAAAAACAATTCTGAAGAAAGCTGGAGGAAAAAAAGCAAAATAAAACACTGCCTTGATCATACTTTTTGTACCTTATTTAATCAACTTTGTATATTTATTTTCTCTCACCTAATCTTTATTGACCACAGAAAAATCAATTTTCTGAAACTGGCATCACAACTTAAGTTATGAAAATTGTATTGTTATTAGTAGCATAATTTAATTTTTGTTTCTATTTTCATTTCTAACAATCCAAATATTCTGACTTACCAAAGATATCCTATTTCTGTATTCTTTTGAAAACAAGAACTGGCTTAAACCAATAAACAGTGTCTCTCTTCTGAATAAGAATGTATCTTTTATGTGTGTGCATTTGCCATCTGTACGTCTCCTTTCTAATTTTCCTCACCTAAGCTAATTCCATCCTTTTACTCCAAAATATGTCTCACAGACTGGGATTCCTGATCTCACACCACCAGCAGGTGAGACACTTCCAATCCTGCACATTTCACACCTTCTCAAATGTTGTTTGGAAAAAAGGGAAAGTACTGCCCTATGAATGTTAGTGCCACACACTGGATTACCTCAAATTCCATGTATACTTTTAAAGGAACCAGAAGCCCAGCCTCAACTATGCCTGCCCAGGAGGAAGCACAAAAGCTAAAAGTGAGCTCTTGAATTCTGCTAGCTCCTTTTGTTGATTCACCTGCCACCGGTTGTGGTTAAAATTGAATGCAAGAAGTACAGAGAAGAAATGGTTCTATGCACAGAGCAAATCAGGTCTTGTGCAAACTTTGTTAATTTGGACTTACCTTAAGTAATGTTACACCAGTCCTTTCATTTTGAATCTTAGACTCACCGTCTAACTTCATCATGGAGGAAGACCTCGCAGGAAGAAGATCCGAGTAGTTCATTTTGACTAGTTTAGCACCATCATAACATCCAGAGGTCTCCAGAGGCATGGAGGGAATTGGGTCCTTACATAAAACTTTGTAGTCTAGTTCTCTATGCACTGTATGCATAGGAGCAAGTAATCCAACATACATTGTAAAAGAAGGCAATGATGAGATGGGAGATTCTTGACAGGAAAGGGGCTGAAGACTTTACTTAAACCTGAGAATATTATCTGTGAAAGAAATACCTGCTGTAGCAGCATCAACTTCAGTGTAGGCTAATTTGGCTTACTTCTTTACAAAAAAAAACCCCCAACAAAACAGTGGTGAGTGTTGCTTTAAAAAGTGTATTACATGTGTTCTTTCGTGTACTTTTCTGTGCTCCTTAGCATCCCTTGGTAGCTGTGAATTGAAGTGTGATCACAGATTTAAATTGGCTCCAATTTCTCAGTGGGCTGTTACCAGAATAAGAGTGATATGCCTTATATGGAGATATATTATTGTTGACAATAGCTGAATCAACATTCAAATGACCCCCATTACCTTTTTTTGAAAGATTAAGACACCTTCAGTTACTGTTACATCCACTTCTGCAAACATGCCCTGAACCAACCTTTGATGACATTTGTACATTCTTTCCCCCTTGCTCTTAGAGTATCAATTAGTCATATATTATGTATACATAAACAACAGACACTTTAAGGTAGATTTTGAACACATTCATAATTAAACATCTCTTTGAAGCAAGCTATTGTAACTTGAAAATATCTAATTGGAAATACATATTAGCATTATAGTTTATTAAACACTGAGGTTTGGTACTTGTTTCTGATTTTAAAAATTGGTTCAATATTTCTAAAGAGTTTAAGAGAAACCAGAGATAAGAAAGTTGCTGGCAAAGTTGTCACCAGATATAAATGCTGCCAACGCTTTACTAAAAGATAAAATGTTATTTTCACCTTCATATTCTTTTTTAATATCAGTTTTTAGTAATCATTTTCAAAAAGGAAACAATGCAAAACTGTCATGTAAAATAATTTAACAGTAACTTTAGACATTTGCATCTTTTCTTCAGTCAAAGCAAAATGAAACTAAACAGTATTAAAGTGGTTTATACAAACACATAGGCTAAACACAAAATGCTGACAATACAGCTTACTGAAACTGCCATAATTTCTGTAGTCTTCAAATTATTGGTTAGGAAAACATATGATTAAAAAATGTAAAATAAAAGTGAATGATCAGTAAGTGCCAGCTTCAATAGTGCAACATTTTATTAGTGACAGAAATATCTGGTTTTAACACTGCTCATGTTACAAAAAAATGCAGTGATAGTAACAGTGACAGCAAAGGGCGATTTGGCACTGAGTATATAAAATAGCAGAAGCACATCTCAGTGGTCTTCTAAATGGATCAACAAAAATCTTATTAGTGGAAAAAATTCCTTTCAGTTATTTAAACTGGCCAATCAAAAGCAGAATAACAATTTGTGTAAAATAGTGCAATACAATTTATACAAGGTTATCTTAGGAATGTTACCTTTTTTTCAAGTCAACTGATGTAAATGTAAACATGAATATGCTAAGATACATTTAGCAACTTGCACACATGTGCATTTGTTTTTATTCAATTCAACTGCACAGCATAAATGTTTAGTACTAAAAGGTGCACTTTTAAAACTAGCTTTATTTGCGGCTTGCCTACATACTTGTAGCCTAATTTATGCTCTGTATGCTCCTTTTTTTTTTTTTTTTTAAATTAGACCTACAGTGGTAGTGTTCCTAAAAATACATTTGTGTGGAATATCTAAGTTTCTTATTTAAAAACTCAAGAATCTAAGATGTAATATAGTACAGTGATGTTTATCTTACTATTAGGCTTTACACGAAGTTTTCACGTTCTCCTTTCCATGTGTGTATTTCAGGATGTACATCAAACTTGAAGGCAATACAATCTATGTCTGTGATGGGAGAAAAGATGTGGGGCACATTAAAATACACTAGCCATTTTATGTTTTGGTTTTTCTTTTTTAAATCTTTAATTCTCCTAAAGTTTTACATACAAAGAATAAATGAAATACGATCTTATTTCCTTAAAAATTAATACCGGAAATCGGTGCAAGATAAAAAAAAAAAAAATCTATGATGTGTTTGACTTGTTTTTAAACAGGAACCTGAGTAAGGGCAGGAAATATAGCCTTATGACTAAAAGAATAAAATTCCTTAATAATTTAAGTAGCTGAACAGGTTTTTAATGTTTTACCACAAACCAGCAAGGGAACAGATGATAATGGCCTTGTATTCAATGAATTATCATGAACACCCACTGCAAACCTGAATATTTTCTGCAAAAATAAAACATCAGATTATGCACAATAATAAAAAGCATCAGAAATAGATGCACCTGGATTTTTTTTCTTTTTTAAACCACAAATATCAGAATTAAGCATTTATGTCACAGTCCTTGAACAGTTGCTCTGAGATGACTACATTAAGCACACTACTGCACTAAGTAGACACCCCGCAACAGGCTTGCACTGCAACAGTAACATAGTTTTCATATAGGCACAGACAACTTCTTATTCATGTTCAAAAACAACATGAAATAAACAACTCAAGACAATATTAGGATTCATCCCACATTTCCTTGTTAGCAAAAAGTTCTTGCCACTTTGGTAACTGAAGTCACTGAATGTTTTTTAAAAATTGCAGGTACCTCAAGGAAAATAAGAGTTCCATATTCAGCAAGGCAGCATTATATCAGGATATTTTATACCAACTAAGGCATAAAGAACTTTGCATCAGGGTATACAATACTCGATCTTTGAATAAAGTTTCATATTCTGTGTGGCGAAAGTGCATAGGAGTGGGATTCCACTAGAGCAGAAAGAATCCTCTCACAGTATTAAGGCCTTTCAATTTTATGTGAACTGTGTCAGGCTAAAGTCAGCACAGTGGAAAAAAAAAAAAAGGCTATCATTATACTGGACACCACTGAAGTTTTCTTAGCACGTCTTGTCTTCTCCTAGTTGTCGCTCATCTTCTTCATCAGCTTCCTCAATAACCTGAATTTCATCTGCTTGAGGTAAAGATGAAATCTCAGTCAGCAGTTTAGCTCCTTCAGCTTTAATTTTTTCTTCCTCTTCAATCACTTTCTTCCATATTTTGTGGTTTTCGCTGAGATGGTGTATTAGCTGGCAAAATATTCGTCTACCTTTTTTTCTCTGAGCTTCTGTAAAATTATAAGCATATTTGATTGTTTGAGATTCAAAATAACTGTGTTTTACACATACAAAACCAATGGCACTTTGTAAGAGATGTACATTTGAGCAAAAACCATGGATGCTTATTCGGAATATTTAAATAGTGGCATGGTAAAGGATAACAATGAGTCTCTGTTTCAAATTGCAAGTCTCCTGGTATTAAAATTTTTATTAAAGGAGTAAAATTTATGAAGCAGGATAATTGCATCATCTACAATATTTGTACTATACAATTTCAACCATCATTGCTATGTCTGAATCTATTAAATGACAACCATATGCGCCAACTGAAATACAAAAACTTACTTAAAATAAGATCATCTTCCATTTCTTCATCATCACTCTCTAACTGTGCTCCATCATCATCTTCAGTACTTTCTGCATCATCATCCTCTTCATCAACCCATTGCCCTGGAAGCAACCCAGCTGCATTATAGGAATTACAAAGGGGGCCAACTATGTGAGTGATGAAAGATTCTTGCAGTTTTGCAAGCTGTGGAGAAGAACGATCCATGAAGGGGCTTATAGGTAATCCAAGACTTGCTTCTTCATCACCCTGAAAAAGAAATTTAAAAAATTATCAGAGCTTCTCACAAAATTAACTTTAAATTTTTATTTTAAAGATTACTTTTAAGGAACCAAGTAAACATCACGTGGGTTGTATCTTTTCATTAGAGGCAATAATAATATAGACTAAGTGAATAAAAATGTAATTCAGCCAATTTAAAATAAAGACACATTGTGGCTCAGACTTGCATAATCTTCCTGTCAGCTTTGCTGCGTGATACCCTTGTGCATGGATGGAGACCTAGTTCTACTGGAGCTGCTATTCCTCTGCCTTTACAGGACGGCTTCAGCATAGGCAGAGATTTGACTTCAACTGCTGAGCTGATGAACAGAAAAAATGGGAAAGTAATCAGCTAGAGTAAGGCATTCTGGTAAGCGGCTTCTCCCAGAAGTCACAGAAGAATGAACTGAACTAAAATGTCCAGGATAAAGTGGTTTGGGTTGGGTTTTTTCCCCATTTTATAAATGAGGGAAGAAAAAAATTGAACAGTCGCTCACACACAACTCTGAGTTATAATCAGTTAATCTCAGCACTTCTTTGGACCTGACAGTTTTATGAAAAAGTTTTTCCTAAAGGAGCAACTTAGAAAACTAAGGTCTTACAGTAAGTGTAAACACTTCAGATTATTATTGCTATTGCTTAAATCTCCCAAGTGATTTTGTTATTTACTTCCTAGTTTGAAAAATATTTTTCAATCCTTGGTTGTTGTCTCATAAATAGTTAACTCCTCAGAAAGTTGACTACAGAAAAATACCAGAGTAGAAACGTAGAACATATTGGGGGGGGGGGGGGG